CATGATATTGTTATTATTTACGATGTTTTACATTAGTATGAGTTTCCACGGAGCACAGTGCCTTAGTGCTCACTCCCCAGTTTTATCCTATTTTTCAGGTCAGGATGTCGGTCAGGGAGCGTGACGTGATGGAGCATATCGGGACTTTCAGGACATTTGAACATGTTTTGGACTGTATAAATATGACTTACGCTTCCGTTTATCTTTTGATCACTTATGATGATGTTTTTGATATGTTTTGACGAACTTATCAGATTTTGACGGACTTTTAAGAAACTAAAGTTTTTCAGTAACCGGACGTTTTTATTAAATTAAAACAACGGTTTTCTAAAGTAAAGTAAGGATTTTTCACGGTAGCACCCCAAATCAGTTTCGCAAAGTAAAAATGTTTTAGTTTTCAAAGACTTTGCGAATAATTGCGCAACTCTGATTTATCTAGTAAGGTGGGGTGTTACAGATTTAATGACCGAGTTCAGAATAGGGAGCCCTGTCATCCTGAAACTCTACTCGTTATGGTGATCGCCGGCCTTAAACCGAACTCAATATTTCGGTGGACGCTGTGTCAGAATAAACCTAATAATATCCAACAATTCCTCGCACGGGCGCAACAACATATTATTGCCGAAGAATCCATGTCAGTTCCCAATTTTAATTTCGCTTCCAAGTCACCGAATTCCGGGGGCGGCTCAGACAGCAAGAAGAAGAACTAATCATTTGGTGGGAAACCCTATAAATCCCAGTTCGGTGGATATCTGAAAGGAGATTCTAACGACCCCGAAGTAAGAGCTGCCCAAAAACAATATGCCACCGACTTGAAATCAGGATACCAAACCGTGTATTCGGCTGGGGCCGCTGTCATATATGAAGAGCTTAAGGGTAAGGGCATCCTGCGCGAACCTAAGCCCGTTCGAGCCCCTGAGGAAAAGTTAGACAAGTCTCGATATTGTGATTATCATAAATCACCCGGGCACAATACTGATGAATGCCTGAGTCTCTTGGCTGCATTGTTGCGACTGATCGGCCACCCCCAACTAAGAAGATTCTCTAGGACTCCGGAACTGCGAAGGTCGGGGCCTGGGCGACAAGTTTATCCTTATGAAGTTAATGGCGAAGAAGATCGTGAGGTCATGCCCAAAAGGATTCGACAGGGAGAAAAAGAAGTGTTTACCTTTACTTCAAGTTCGATTAGCGCAGGGTCCTCCTGGGACTCTCCTGATCTCAAACGAAGACGATCTCCCAGTCCTCCACGCCTCGTCGTCAGCCGGGTGAATACGAACAAATCCAAAAACACGTTATCCCGACGACAACTCAAACCTATGTGCGACAGGCACACCATTCGGGCAAACACGTGTACAAAACTGATCTACGCGATATCATTAATACTCGGCAAGGATCTATCACCTTTAACATCGAAGACGCTAATCATTTTGTCCATCCTCATTCCGATGCCCTGGTGATAACTGTTCCTATATGTGGGATCCCGGTTCATCGGGTCATGGTTGATACCGGGGCCTATTCTAGCATCCTGATGGTGAAAGCTTTTAATAAAATGGGTCTGGACCCTGCTGACATCAAGCCATGCAGTGACCAGATTCAAGGATTTAATGGCAGTATCTCCCGATCTATCGACGAAATTAACCTTCCCGTCAGATTTGGCGATTCGGGTAATGCTTCGAAACTCATCATGGAAACGTTCAAAGTTATGGACATTGAGAACGAGTACAATGCCATTGTCGGAAGGACTGCTCTATATAAATTGAAAGCATTCGTGTCCATTTTCCATTATGCGCTCAAATTTCCAACCCCACACGGAGAAGGGACTCATTACGGCGATCATAGAGAAGCCCGAGAACTTATTCTTATAGTATCCGACCTCGAGGTGCAAACTATGACACCGTGTCCACCTGGAGAGATATCAGTTCCTAACATACCCGAAGTTCCAAGCACCGACGCCCCACTTGAAGAAGAACAACGACATAGAGTCAATCTCGATGAAGATAGAGGGCGACGACCTGGAAAAGAGCCTATACGGGATGAAGATGACTTGGATCCTCGGACTTTATTTAAAGAGAAAAGTAGACCAGATCGGGCTGAATCTGGAGAAGATGTTGAATTAATATACCTAGACTAACCGACGTGCCAAAGGTCTTTACGAATTGGCAGTCATCTACAGGAGCCAATCCGAACCGAACTCATTCGCTTTTTGAAATCCAACCTTGATGTGTTTGCATGGAGACACGAAGACATGAAGGGTATTGATCCGAAAGTCTCCTCTCATAAGTTGAATCTAGATCGGACTGTCAAGCCCTTAGTACAAAAACACCGAAAATTGGGGCCTGATCGTCAGAAGGCTTTGGAAGAAGAAGTCAAGAAACTTATTGACAACAAGTTCGTCAAGGAAGCAAAATATCCGATGTGGGTGTCCAATACTGTGCTCGTAAAGAAAAGAAATGGTCTTTGGCGATTGTGTATCGATTTCTCCGATCTCAATAAAGCATGCCCCAAAGATAGCTATCCTCTGCCGCACATTGACTATATGGTGGACGCCACCTCAGGCCACGAGTTGATGAGCTTTATGGATGCCTATTCCGGCTACAACCAAATCCCAATGGATCCCGTAGATGCAGATCATACCTCTTTCTATTCAGCTCGGGGTCTATATTGTTACACAATGATGACGTTCGGGTTGACAAATGCTGGACCTACTTACCAACGCCTCGTGAACAAGATGTTTGCCAACCTGATTGGTCACACCATGGAAGTTTATGTTGATGACATGCTGGTGAAGTCGGTTCATGCGACCGACCACGTTCAACATCTGCATGAAATGTTTAATATCCTCCGCAAGTATTACATGGTTCTTAATCCCAAGAAATGTACTTTTGGAATCGGGTCAGGGAAGTTTCTCGGGTACACGGTCAGTCAGCATGGCATCGAAGCCCCAACCCTGCCAAGATTAAGGCAATCCAGGATCTAACCCCTCCTACGTCGGTCAAAGGTGTTCAAGCTTTAACTGGCCGACTTGCGGCTCTTAACCGATTCATATCGAAATCAACCGACCGGTGTACACCTTTCTTCGACATTATTAAGATTAAAAAAGGAAAGTAATTCGAGTGGAATGATGATTGTCAGAAGGCTCTTATAAGCATCAAAGAAGCTCTCGCACAACCAGCGACACTGCAGAAACCAATTCCAGAAGAAATGTTGTTTTTATACCTCGGAGTTAGCGATGCTGCTGTCAGCGCTGTCCTTGTTCGGGAGGAAGGAACTTAACAATTCCCAATATACTACGTCAGTAAAGCTTTGCATGATGCCGAAATCCGCTACCCTCCGATGGAAAAATTAGCTTTCGTGCTTGTTATCGCAGCTTGGAAGTTGCGCCCTTATTTTCTGGAACATTCAATTATCGTCCGCACCTCATATCCTTTACGTCAGATCATCAACCGACCTGACACTTCGGGGTGGATGGTTAAGTGGGCAGTTGAACTTGGTCAATTCGACATCCATTATCAACCGAGAACAGCAATCAAAGCTCAAGCCCTTTCTGATTTCATAGCCGAATTCACTCTGGCTGTTGAGCAATTGAATAGTGATCAACCTTGGGTCCTATACATTGACGGTTCTTCCACTGCTAACCGAGCAGGAGGAGGAATCGTATTAGCCGATCCCGAAAATAGGCTTTTTTGTCATTCTGTGAAATTCTTGTTTCCGGCAACCAATAATGAAGCAGAATATGAAGCCATGTTGTCTGGATTAAGCCTTGCAGAGTCTATGAATGTCCGACACTTAAAAGTTTTTTCTGACTCTCAATTGCTCGTGAACCAGATAAATGGAACTTATGAAGTCAAGGAACCTCGGTTACTTCCTTACTTTTCCTTGACCAAACAAAAGCTATCCAAATTCTCCGTTTAAATAAAACATATTCCCCGAACTCTCAACGTGCAAGCTGATGCTTTATCGAGACTCGCCTCTAGCATCGGCATGGAAAGTGTCGAGTATGTCCAAATCGAACAACAAGAACAACCATCTACCCATACTTCGGAGGTTAATCATACCGAAGTCGCAACCTTACAAAGTTCTCTGACATGGATGGACCCGATAGTCCAATACCTGCAGAACGGTACGTTACCGGCGGACTCAAAAGAAGCCAGGACACTTCGTACGCGAGCTGCCCGATTTACTCTCGACAACAGAGTTCATTATAAAAGAAGTTAAGCTGCTCGACTTCTGAAATGTTTAACCGAAACTGAATCTCGCAATGTCCTGGAAGAAGTCCATGAAGATATCTGTGGAACCCATCTTGGGGCCCAAGCGTTGGCCTACAAGATTCTCCGACAAAGATACTATTGGCCGACATTAAAAACCGACGCTGTATCTTTAGTTTGAAAATGTCATAAATGTCAAATCTTTGCCCCGAACGTCACACTGCATCCCGAACAGCTTAAATCAGTTTATAGCCCTTGGCCTTTTGCAAAATGGGGTATTGATTTAATCGGTCTGCTACCAACAGGAAAAGGTGGAGTTAAGTTCGCCATAGTTGCCGTGGATTACTTCACTAAATGGGCCAAAGCTGAGCCATTAGTGTCCATAACCGAACAGAAAGTTATAGACTTCATCTGGAAGTCTATTGTTTGCCGCTTTGGAGTTCCTAATTCCATCATTACTGACAACGGAAAACAGTTTGAAGGGAAAAGGCTCGACTATTTCTGCGAGGAATACAGAATTAAGCACTTCTTTTCGTCGCCCTATCATCCCCAATCCAATGGTCAAGTCGAAGCTGTTAACAAAATTATCAAGAACGGTCTTAAAGTTCGTCTTGATTCAGCTAAAGGAGCTTGGCCCGAAGAACTGCCCTTCGTACTCTGGGCTTACCGAACTACTGTGAGAAATTCCACCGGGGAAACTCCATTTTCACTAGCGTATGGATCAGAAGCAGTTGTCCCCGTCGAACTTGGATCTCCTACATTCCGAGTCCAAAATTACGAAGACACCTCCAATTCGGAAAACCTGAGAGCCAATCTTGATCTACTCAAAGAACTTCGGATTCGTGCCGAACTTAAGAATGCCGCTTACAAACAACGAATTGAAAAATACGTTAACTCCAAATGCCAACATCGTGCTTTCCGAATTGGGGATCTGGTGCTTAAAAGAATCACTGGACCGGATCCGGGGCCTCTCAAATCGAAGTGGGAAGGTCCTTTTCAGATTATCCACGTGCTGCCTTATGGTGCTTATAGGCTTGCGTATCCAGATGGAACTCCCCTGCAATATCCCTAGAATGATGTGTTTTTGAAAAAGTTCTATCAGTAACTCTTCTGTTTTTTGAGTTAAAATCATCCCCTAAATACTGTACGTCTCCCTTTTGCCTTTTGATGAGACGAAAATGATGATGTCCGTTTGGCTATACCATTTTTCTACAATATGTAAAATCCGAGTAACAAAAATGAAAACTCGGTACCGAATACATAAGATTACATTCGGTTATGCTGATTCCTTATAAAACATCCAGGTCCCACGTTTGACTTGGTTAGGATGAAGCTCGTCCCCTTGTCGAATCCGCAAACAATGATTTGACACGCCTCTAACAGCCAAGTACACTTGACTTGGTTGAGGCTAGGTTCCATATCAGCCGAACATCCTTGGTTCAGTTGGATCCGTTCTTTAACCGGACCTTAACGAAGTCCGGTGACATTTTTTCTAGACACAAACAAAATGATGTCAGGAATTGCAAGTTAGTTTGAACAGCTTGCAAACCATTTTATCTATTCTGGACGACCCTTTGGGTTAAGTTTATTTTCCTCGGCTTACTTCTTTTAACAAGATGAGAAGCGCAGTTCGGTGTCAACTTTAATAAACTCACTTACCAAAAACTGAATTGCTACTTCAATTATTGTCATCTCTTTTCCGAGGTCATTAGACTTAATCAGTTTCAAAACAACAGAGATATGGAATAACTCGCAAGTACATATAAAGAGTTGTTCATATCATTCAAAACATCAATCCAAACAAAACAATCTTCACCTTGTAAATACTTATCCTACTAAGAGTATCGAACATAAAGATACTCCGATGAACAAAAAGTGATAACAAAAGCTAAAAAAGAAAAGTTCCTTCATCACACTCCTGGGGCCACTTCATCATCTCGGCCGGACTTGCTACTGTCCCCTTCTTCAGCGGCTAGTGGCTATATCGTTAGTTGTTTGTGAAGCATCTCAAACACAGCCGCCTCCTTTGCTCTTGCTGCCGCATCAATTTCAGCTCCCGAAAATGGAGTCAGTTCATTGCGAGGATCCGCGGCATCTTGAGGGAGTTCGGTCTCCTCGGGGTTATTCTCTTCAATACCATCATTTCGGGGCCTTGCCTCCTTCTCACCTGTACGCTTCTCCACCATCTCTCGAATTTCATCCGGAGTCATTGTGTCCAGGTCCTGGTCAATGTTCACATCGGCGAGGGTCGTGACAAATACGTCCGCTAACTCTTTTCTTTTAGTCTTCTCGCCCTCCAAAATCATGTCAACATATGCTCGACGAAGGCGTGCAGCTCGTTCTTCAGTCAGCGGAGTTAGATTCGGGTTTCTCGACCTGTCTTCATCCGGATGGAGCATCCATACACAAAAGTCCCTTTCATCTTCGTCGGCTTCGATATGCATCCCTTTGATGTCCCAGGGGAAGTCATATTTCTCCAACTTGTGGAAAAGGAAATAGCGCAACTCCTCAATGTCGTATAACTCCCGATCAAAGCGCTC